TTGAGGACCTCCGTTAGGTACGCTACCCCCCGCAGGACCCAAATTTGTCAGCATCAGCATGCATATTCCGTCGGGACCCATGGCTTTGGAGGCTTTCGCCTTCCCGATGGCCACCTGAACTTCACCGCAAGTGAAAGCAAGGGGGGCACAGGTTGTTGGCAGTTTGTGCAGCCTTCTGGTCACTCGACGCTTGGCTTTGTCCACCGGAGGATGCAGTATGAACTGCCGGCTAAAATAGCTCGCCAATCGCTCCGGGTCCGACGAGGCATGGTCGCCGAAGGAAATTTCGACTCTGTCGTCGTGCTTCGTCGGATTAGACAATGACCTCACGGATGACCAAAGCTTGCTCACACCAGAGGTGAAATTACAGGTCTTCAGATGCTCCTCCCACTTCTTCCGCTTATGTACGTTTACTAGTTGCCGAATCTCCGCGTTGAGATCCCTGATACGGGGATCTCCGGGATCGGCCTGACGAAGGCTATCACGCTCATCGGCTAGAACAGCCGCTTCGGCAGGGAAGTTTGGACGTGGGTCCGATATACATCCTGCCGGTATGAAGCGAGCTGCAGCAGCAGTGACAGCCCTGCGGAACTTACGTTCACCGAGATGGACGTCGGTTGGTGTGGGGAGCGCTGTGAAGGTGTTTTCGGTAAACTCCGCGTAACCTTTCCAATCAGCTTTAGAAAAGTTGTATGTCGTCGGGTCCAGTGGTTGGTCTACGTATTGCTGGACTGCGTCCTTGTATACGAATAGGTGCCCCCTGACGTGCCTGGGCGGAGGCTCCTCCTGAAGAAGAGGTCTGTTTGGGTGTTCGCTTCTGTGGCACCCCAACAGAAATTGCTTACAAAGCATTTTGTTGTGTTCCCTTACGGGGAGCACTTGGGCCTCGCTGTGTTGGTGGTCTTCAGGCGTCATCAAAAGGCACCCAGTCGCTGTCCGGAGTGCGGCGTTCTGACAAGTCTGTAGCAGAGTTGTGAAAAATTCATTAAATTTATTAATGCATAGCATTTTAATGTAAATGAAAAAGATTAATGCATTAATTTTTGATATTTAATGTAAATGAAAATTTCAATGCACTAATTCCGAAGAAATAATGCTAATGATTTTTTTGTATTAACATTAAAATATTTAAATGAATGCTATTGCAATAATTTATTGCATTAAAATTATAACAAACATTAAAAGCCCATTAACTAATTTTAATTTGAAGTAAAAATTCTTTGCTGACGTTGAGGGTAGAATTTTAAGGTCAAAAAAGGTAGTGACGGCCGTTAAGGCTGGTTTTCACTATGTCAAGCTCAATGGCATTTGTCGTTAAATAGATATCACATTGTCAAATGGAACTAAAAAACGATTTATTGATTGATTTAGATCAGAATAGGTTTTAGGTCGTGTACATGCGCTGCTAAACTGGCAATCTGTCCGTTTTTGGCTCATACTTAATATATGTAATCGGTATGCATCAACAATCAACATAAAAATCTACAAAAGCACTCTGCGTTACATGCATATTGGCTTTCATTTTCATAAAACATCTAACAATGTTTAGAAAAATTTTTCTACAAATACACCATATATGTAATACTCCTATATTGGCAGCAAGAGCTAGTACCGTCCGAAAACACTACAGTACAGATATATCAAAAAACACGTACGAAAGAAAAGGAACACACACGTTTATAAATAAACATGTACACAACACATTTACAAAAACGGCACTCAAGTACACAATACATTGACAAAAACGGTACTAGACTTTCTCGCTTTGATTTCGGAATGCTTACACATTGAGAAGTTAGCTTACTGCCAATATAGAAGTATTACATATATGAAATACACATAATATAATGAAGCTGAAAAAACTATTAGTAATTATTTCAACTCCTTCCAAAAGAGGTTATTTATATTTTACTAAAAAAAAATTTATGGTTTTTATTAATGCAAAGGAGCAAAAGTATTAAACATTT